CTTCATCCAAGTTTGTTTACAAGTTAGTTGCATGGAACTTGAAACAGATATTTCCTCTCCAGAAGGAAAGCTACATCTGGTTAGTGTGTGTGTGTGTTAGGAGGGTTCCTTGGCCAGCAGCACTAGCTGGATTAGTTTTAGATCAGGGGGCTGGGAACCATGCAAGCCAGAAGTGAAAAAGAATCTCTAAAAACAATTTTGAAACACATAGTATTCTCTGGTTATTTCACCACTTGTACCCAGTTCCTACCTGCACGAGATCCCTAAGATTAAGCTTGCCCTGGTAACTTCCTTTTCTCCAGAGTCTGCCTGATGCCTGATGGCTCCAACTGTTCCTAACTTATAAACCCACCCTGCACTTAATCACTTCAGCCAGCTAACCTTTACCAGGAGGCAGTCTGAGCCACTGGAGTTCCCTGGAATTCACACAATGTGTAAAGGACTGGTGCTTTAGCCTTCCCAGAGGAATTGTTTTGAGTAAACGGTATTAACACCCACCTGAATTGAGGAATTGTTTTGGGTTGGGGTGGAGGTGACCACACTGGCCAACCAATATCTTCCAGAGTTGATTTCCAGGATTTGTGCCCATGTCAGTTCTGACACTATTTGCTAAAAGCTCCACGTTTTCCTAAGACCGAGGCAAGGGCATACAGATATGCACCTGGGGGACTGGCTCATACTTTGGGGTGTCCTGTTAGCTTGCTGTAGCAGGGTTGAACGTATTTCGTTGGATTGGTCCATAGGGACAGCTGAAAAACAGGTAAGCCCCTGTTGAATTTGGTAGGTCCAAATGGGGCTCAGTAACCTGCACTTTTACTCTTAGTGATTCTGACTTCGTACTGAGAAAGCTACCGAGAGGCAATTTGCTCAAAATATGTGATTATACTCTAGTTACATAGTTTCCTATAGTATATTTTAGATTCCACCTAAAGCACTAACACAAGCAAGCAAAACAGCCTTATAATTGATCAAGAGCCTCTGAATCATACCTAGTCATCCATTCCTTTTTAGCAGTTCTTACATTTAATTAATGGCAGCAACTTTCAATTGTAGATGTAACACACACACATAAAATAGATCTAAGGTTTCAAACCAATGGGCCAAATAAGTATTAGCCACTTCTTGCTGAATTTGTAGTTGGTCTACACTGTTCTATCTTTAGGGATTATAGGTTTAAGCCTCTACAAATGGGTATTCTCACACCATACCCATTATCATTCCCCAATAATCATTCACCATTCCACTGGGTCCCTTTCCATCTCCATTTGTCCACCCTGCCTCTCTGGTTGCCTAAATTTTAGTCTGATGTTGAGAGTTTCTTCTTTGGTTTTGATTGGCCCTTTGTTGTTGTTTTTTAAAGATTTATTTATGCATATAAGAGCTGGATACAGACCAGAGGTGTAGGGGGTGAGAGGAGTCTCCAGAGACAGAGTGGGGAACAGAGCAGGCTGATCTACTGAAATACACTGCTGAGGGGAGCAGCAGGTGGGACAGGAGATCTGCTGTGCCATGTGGGTCACCGCCAGGGCAGTGATTGACTGCGGCTAGCTTCATAGTACTATGCTTTAACTGGTTGCACCACCAGGGAGGGCCCTGACTGATCCATTTTACACTTCTTTATATCCTACATGAGAGGCCACCAAGTACGTCTTTCTCCTTCTGACTTAACATTTTCCTCTCCAGTTCCATTTACATTGCCGCAAGTGGTAAGATGGCATCCTCTTTTATAGTTTTCTTCTGTGTGTGCTCCATGTTTTCTTAAGAACGAGGCAAGGATATACATATGTGTGTGTGTGTATACACACACACACACCATTTTTCTAACCCATTCTTCTGTCTTTGAGCACTTAGGCTATTTTCATAACTTAGCTATTATACAGTCACTTAATTTTGACAACTGAACTGCAGTTAAAGTCCAAATATTTTCTCTGCTAACACTGTTGGCATGAAATATGAATATATAACAATAAATAGGAGTAAATCTCAAGAAATCAGATGTTTCCTAACTTACAATTATTTTTATGTATAAATTTTTTTTTTTTAAAGATTTATTTATGTATACATACAAGAGCTGGGGTATTGGCCAGAGGTGCTGGGGATTGGCAGGGAGAGGATTCTCCAGAGACAGAGTGGAGAGCAGAACAGGAAGATGTACTGAGATACACTGATCAGGGGGAGCAGTGGGTGAGATAGGCCTGTTTCACCTAAAATTCTTTTTCTTGAGGGTTGTTTTCAAACCCCAAGGAAGAATAAAACAGCTTACTAGAGGTTTTTCTTTAACCTATCTTAAAAAAAAAAGTATTCATTAGGCAAAACCTCAAGTTTACTGACATGAGACTAACATCAGAATCTATCTGGGACTTAATAGCATATTTTTCCTGAGACTGGTTTCTGCAATTCCCAAACCTTTCAATTATCCTGGGCAAGAAGTTAAAATATTCAATTTATTTCAAAGAAAATTATTTGCAAAGACGTTTCTAGTCTTTCCACTGTCCTCTCTAGTGAGTGAGAAAAACTGAATATAACAAACAGGAGAGAACCCTATTTTGCCAAAAGGAGAGAAATAATTTGGATCCCATCCCCACCCATATAAATCTGCATAGAACATTTACAATAGGCACAAGAATCCTTCTTTTGTCACTGCCACAAAAGATGATTTTAACAAAAGTAACTACAGCCTTAACATAGCTTCAGATATTAATCAATGCAGATCAAGATGCTTTTTAAATTTTCATGTGAAAAACATTGGAATTTTTATAATTGATATAACTTCTATGGCTAAGGTTACTTGCAATCAATGGTTTACACAGTACATTGGCCTTTACACTGAGTATTCATACTTGCAAATGTTTTCTCAGCCCTTCCTCTCACTTACCTCTGCTGTAGCATTTTTTTTTTTTTCAGTATGAATTTTCCTTTGAACTTGAGCTGGAAAAAAGTGACCCTACGAATATTTCAAGTATCGCTATGGGTAGTTAAAGACAATTAGTACCAGGCTAGATAGCACGTTAAATATTGAGCTAAAATCAACCCTTCAGTTTGATTCACTTATTTGGAAGAGCCTTTTTGAAAATTCTTAAATTAGCAATTAGAGACTCAGTTGTACAGTGGCTATAGTTTGTGGGTGGAGGAAAAAAGAAAATGAAGCTCACAAGACATTCATTCCATCAACACTGACACGTGAAACAGAGCCTAGCATTTTCTTCCTGTGTAACACATGGAGAAAGCCGTCACATTATTCTTCTAAGACCAGGTGACAGTACTGGGGGAAAACCTCCCAAGTCTTGGGGAGACTAGCTGTGAGGGAAGCAGTGAGGTTCAAGCACACAAAAGTTGATGGAGGAAAACCAAAACACTCTTGTCAATTCCAAATTCCCCAGCCCCTATCCTCAAAGGCTAGTATAAAAACAAGGGTCAGTTTAATAAACTTTTATCCTTTAGCTGTTTTGTAAAAACTAGTATGCCAAGAAGACTGCAGGTGAGCCAAAATACCCCTGAAAAGAGGGGTGTTACATACAGGTCCATCCAGCATCCCTTATCCTCTGAAAGCCACCACCCCAAGCCATTTGGCAAATAAAAGTTTGTTCAAGTAAAAAAATATCTAGTGAAGCTGTAATTTGCTTTTCTATTTTTTCCCCTTTTGTATTTAAAGGCATAGCAGAAATATAGGTTTCTTAAATAATTGAACACTGAGCTGAACGTGCCTTCTCAATCCATCTTCAGTTAGCTAAAATTAAAATAAGAATAAAAATAAGAAAGTAAAACTACTAAGTAAAAGACAAAATCCAAATTTACTTTGAAAAAATCTGATTTTATTTTCGGAATCAAAAGAAGTATATTCATGTTAAATTTAGAATGTTTAACTTTCCATTATCTTTCAAAATACTTTCCAGATATTGTTAAGAGTGCTCAGAGCTACGTAGGTGTTAACATCCAATACCACATTTTAAAGAAAAGTTTAAATGTAGGTTCTTCTCAAGGCATTGGCAATTCTGATTTAAAAAGAAGAGAAATTTAATCATCATTGTAAGTTTAAGTGACAATGGTTTTCAAAAGTTAAATACCAGATCTCATTTAAAACAAAAATTTTGAATTTCTGAGGGACTGATACCTGACAACTCCAATTAAATAATACTTCCCACCTCCACATTACTAAATGTATTATTTAACCTTGAATAGGAAAATTATAAAATGGAATTTTAAAGCTATGCTATATATAGGTACCTATACATATCACTAAACTATTTTAACTGGCATGTCTGCTAGCAGAATTATGAGATTAAAAACAAATTCTACATTCAAGGGACAAATGTTCTTTCATTGTTTTATTTAAGAGTCTGACCATAGTCTTTGTTGTTTTCTACCTTCATATATTAAAGATCATGACCAAAGACCAGGAGTAAATGTCTGCTAACATTTACAAAATGCCACAACTCTTTTTCAAGCATTCACCTGAAAGGAATAGGTAGTTGGTGCATGTGTATCCTTTAACAAGCCTAGTGATCAAATGGTGGGGGGATATATAAGAACATGATTTAGAAACTTTAGAATTCTCAGGTGACTCTGACATCCGTGTTCCTAAAGCCTAGGAGGCGTCTTACAGGTCATTCATGTGTACTGAAGCATGTCCAGCATGCAGGCAAATTTATTTGTTCCAATTACAGTAGAACAGACAAAAAAAAAAAAAGAGACAATATTAACAGAAGCTGTATAATTAAAACTGACCTTCTGCTGCTGCTTATATTTTTATTTTCTCACATTTTCTCTAATTTCAGTCACCCTCAAAAGGAAGCTGCCTTTTTCGAAGCCATTATTAGTAAAGAATATTTTGAAATGAAGGGAAAAATTTTCCCTCTGCATCTGCATTCTGTACAGAATATCCAACTGTACTTTTGTATAATTTCATATCACTTTTTCAAATTTAGCAAGAACTCAAGCCTGAGTACTATCTGATATTTTCTCAGATACCAAGCATTGTCAGCAAGATTCATAAATACGACCTTCTGACACAGGTATGAAAAGTCTGCTAACATTTACAAAATGCCACAACTCTTTTTCAAGCATAAGATGGCTGGGATTTAGTAGGTATGATGATTAGTTTTTGGGGACAAATACAAATTTAAATCTTGATTTCTTGCCAACATTTTCAATAGTCAAGTTTACTCCATTTCTAGGTTTCCAATCAAAACAAAAAAACTAATAGAAATTATTTAACTGGCAACAAGTCCCATATTTCAATATTATTTTTGAACCAACAATTATAACCTACTGCCAGCAATTATTTTATGTATTTACTTGTTTTTGTTAAATAAGCACTGGCCAGTTATATAAAAGAATCATTTGCAAGAATAGTACTTGGCACTGGGTTACCTTAATGCTTCTTATATAAACAGAAGCACTTAGAAAATACCAGCTCTTAAGCACTTTTTTAAACTGTAATTTGAATAGCCAAAAGCATTTTTAAAATGTTATTTCTTCACTGACAGATTCTAGGGAATCTAGTCACAGCTAACCTGGTTGATTTTAAAAAACAAATAAATCCCTAAGTCACATGATAATAGAATACTATACTTGCTTTTTATACCATATCGAAAAAGTTCCAGGCAGACCAAAAGTAGGAGAAAATCTGCCAAATCAAAGTACTGTAAATAAAATTTATCTTATGAACCCGAGATCAGAAAAGCTCACAAATGAAAAAATCAAAAGGCCACCCGCCTCCCCACACAAAAACCCACCCACAACACTTTAGTTCTGAGCCTAACATTTCCCTAAAACGTTAATATGAGAAGCTTTAAGGTACTTCAAAAGCTGTAGCAGTAACTGTTGCAAACACCAGTAGAGGGCTACAGTAAAGGGCTCGCCCACCCGCCCCTTGCAGCCCAGCCAATAATATGTAAAAGCTCCTGTTAAGGTTTTTCCTTATGCTAATAAAGGCATACCACCTAGTGTGCTAAAGACTAAAACTAGCAGCATTAGAGCAGTAAAATGAAAATATGAAGCCTACAGGAATGATCTAAATGCCTACTTAGAAGAAACAATGCAGCAAGACAGGACCCTTTTGCCCTCTTGTCCTGTTTGTAGGGAAGTGGTTGAATTAAACAAGTCAGATTTACCCACATTAACAAAAATTTAACAGGTCTTCCCTAAGACACCAGAAAAAAACCTGACCTTTTCAGTCAAAGGGCACAAAGAGGCCTCTTCCATGTCCTGGAGATGAGTGAGTTCAAAGATTGGCAATAAAGGAAAACAGAAAGCACAGAGGTGTGATGGGACAAGCCTGGGAGTTTATCGAACAGTCACACCAAGTTTCTCTAGCACACGGACACCCTTTTCTTGATATTCTTGTCGGGTCATCCAAAAGTTGTCTTTGTCTTTCATGATATCGGCCAAAACCGCACCACCCAGGAATACCATGTGCTTTCTGCGGGGTGGGTCTTCTATGCGGATCTTAAATTTCTAAAAGGGAAACAGGAGACAATAAAGTTACATTGTGCAAAGGACTTTCTGCTTCCACAGTGACTTTTTTCATATATTCTCTTGTTGAGTTCTCGCAAAAGTCCTATGATGTAAGCAAGAGAGCCACCTTTGGTATCTGAGCTACAGAGACATCTTGTCATTTGCATAAAATTCATCTAGAATACTTTCATCACTCTGTGATCAAAACAGTTCTGATTCACATCTGTAGCTCCATCATTAAGAGCACCCTCTGTCTGTCACTCTCATAGTGTCTCGATCTGAATGATAAGATTTCCTGATCTCTCTGAGACCTTGAGTCCCAGAGTCCTGATTGTAGCAGGTAAGATTTTTACAATTTCTTGAAGGTCTAACACTGCTGTGATTCTGGGTTCTGTGCAATGGAGGAAGGTTAAGTTCTTTTCATAGAAGCAAAGCTCACCTTGTTGTCTCGTAGTCAAATGAAATATTCTCACAATAAGTCCAAATATGGTCAAAACAAATCATGGAGATATTAGAGAAAATGAACATAGTAACCAAAATTAGAGAGTTCACAACTATTAAGAGGAAGGATGTCCTAAAGAAATTCTGCAGAACTCCACTCCCTACTCCAGCTTTCTGGATTCCACCCCTACTCCAGTGATTGGAAACTACAACTCCCAGCAGTTCCAAGGAGAGAACTGTGAGGACCCAAGGGTGGAGCTAAGCAGACATTCTGGGACTTTGGGGGATAAATAGCGAGCGGTTTTCCAACTGTCGCTCTGGAGAGGTAATGGCTTTCCCTCTCGGGAGCAAAGGCTCTCAGACCATGTGACTGGGGGCTAGCAGTTTTAGTAAGTGACTAGAGTTCCAACTTAGCCAAGCTGGTAAGATATTCCAGTTACTTTGTATGCATCTCTCTTTCCCTAGGTTGTTCCTTTTCCTTTCCCCCTTTTTTAAATAAACCCATTACCCTTTTACGTATGTGCAGAAAATTACATTTTAAGAGCGCGAGTGAGGGTCCACAGACTGCAGGCAGCCCAAGTTCACTCTGGGCTACCCTGTAACAAAACTACCACTAATTTTCTAACAAGGGTATAACTCAATCTGTGTGGTCAGTCAACTGCTGAAAGAGAAACACTAAAATGACAGTGTTATTTAGTGCCACAAACCCTGGAAAAGAGTAATCCTGTCATTCTAAGTTATTTGTCTTTATGTCATATAAACTATAAGGATCTGACAATATGACACAGCAACATGGCAATTTTCTTACTACTCAATTTGTAGTTAATCTACTATTAATTACTAAGTCACTTTTTTACTCTCAGGCAAATCAGCAAACTTTTCCTGTAAATGGGCAAACAGCAAATACTAGAGATTTTTTTAGGTCTTTCTAGCAACTATTCAACATAACTAGAAGACAGTTTCAGACAACACGTGACAATATGAAATGGGCCTGGCTATGTTCCAATAAACTTTATTTGCAAAAACAACCAGTTTTTGGCACAGGGATGCCATTCGCCCAACTCTACTCTAAGGGAAGCATGGCTGGTCCATGAAGACACTGTTGCTCCAGCAGGTTCCTTAACTGGCTGTCACATTCCCTCTTTCTTACTCTGTCTTCCATATCTGGGGATCTGGAGGCAGTCTTTTCCTACTTTCGCTCTCTTCCTGAAACTCCACAGTACCTCTGAAACTCATGCTATCAGACCATACCACCCACCACTCCTCCTTGCTCAAGTTTTCTATGATTTCCAAGTTATTTCATCTCATACAAGAGTACTAGTGCTCACTACTATTTCCTGACATTATCCTAGTTACTCTGTCCATTCCCTCTCGTCTTTCTTATAAAACACCAACTAAGATATCATTTTTCTACTTTACCCCCAGCCCTCAAACAACTGAGTAAAACACCAGAAAAACTAAACATCCTGCTTTAATTTAGCACTTACCTCAACTGAGCCCCTTAATGATTCTCAGCAATTCACACATTTCTCCTTCCACTCTCCAGGACAATCATTTGATGCCTCCTCCTCTACCTTTAAATCTCTAGCATCCCCACCCTGCTCTCGGAGCCTCACTGGTCTTTCTACAACATCTCCAATTCCACCCTTCCCTCTCAAGTCACCATGCCTGATGATGCTTTAAAAACAAGTAAGATTCTAGAATTTCTTTGCTCAAAACCTTTTTAAGGCTTTACATTTCACTTGGAGCAAAGTCAAACTCATTCCTGTGGCTAAATAAGACCTGCATCCCTACTACCTTTGTGAACTCACCTCCCGGCACACCTATATTCTTATAACATAGGCCTGTTGTGTTTGCAGTTTCTGCCTTTCAGAAAATCCTTCCCCAGTTACCCAACTCCTTCAATACCTCTCTTCTGCTCAAGTTACCTCATTAGAGAGGCTTTACCTCATTAGAGAGGCTCACGCTTACTTTACATTTCATCACAGTATGGACAATGTGTAATACAGTCATCATTTATAGACTGAAAGAGGGATTTTCTTTTGTTCGTTAACTGTTTTGTCCCTAGTCCTACTGCAGTGTTTGAAACCCAGGAGTGCCAAAAATATCTGCTGGATAAAGAAGTGACAATGTCATATGTTTAATTGAATAATGTGAGACAAATGAGAGAGGTACTTAAGACAACATGGCTTCTTTTCAATTTTCTAATTTGTTTAAGTGTATTATGTCTATTCTCAATTTAAATCACATATATAAGATGTAATTGTGTCTGTAATACAGAGTCCCTGGAGGTATGTAAATTCATTATCTATCACTTGATCTAAGTCAGTGAGACAAAACTGAGATTAATTCAAAATTAATTAATTCTTGGTTAAGTTCACAGTAAAAGTTCAGTGCCAAACACCCAACTATTTTAACCTTTCTTTATACTCTACACACCCATAACTACCAATTAAAGTCTGCTGAAAGAGCTACAGCAGTTGATGGGGGATGCAAACAACTGGAGACATGTTTTACACCTGACTAGGGAGGGATGATGCAAGAAATAGCCAAAAAACTACCTAATTTAGAAATAGGAAATAGTTCAAGAACTCCCCTGAAGGCTAATTACATAAAATACCCAAAGTGGACATCTATCTCTCAGTAGTTCAGAAGGTTCTTCCAGGTATTTTGAGGGACACTGAATTCAGCTTCTTTGTTAGAGATGAACCAGACTGTTGGCCCTGGAACTAGCTGCCTCCACCTACAGAGGCAACCAGGCATTACAATGGCCCTGGGGCAGAACTTAACTTGAACTATTTACTTCTTCCTGTCTCTGCAAGGGTGCACTTTGGCTACATTAGGAGGACTTCTTGCTCCCTCTGGTGGTAGTCAAGATTCACAAGCTACCTCACAGGGTTTTCAATGGGTGTTTACAGTTGAATTATCATTACTTACAGAAAGTTTTTCCACGTCTCCCTTTAAAACTCGTTCTAAGTAAAGTTGTTTGAGTTCTCGTTCCAACCTTGATGGCAGACCAGGGTACATAGTAGACCCTCCAGAGAGCACAATGTGCTTATAGAATTCAGATCTAAAAGAACACAATAGGTATTCATAAGGTTTCAGATTAAGACAACTATATCTCAAAGGAACTGTTATTTGTGTCAACCTGAGGGGCTGCTGACAAAAGTAAAGACAATTCAGTATGGAAAGCACAAGACTAAATGTTACTACAATGTTAGATAACAAATCTTTTCATATAAAAACACTGTAATTTAATGTAAGTACTTTTTTAACGATTTATTTATTTATTCATTCATACAGAACTGGGGTACAGGCCAGAGATGCAGAGGGTGAGGGATTCACCAGAGACAGAGTGGGGAGCAGAACAGGCAGATCGATGAAGTACACTGCTGAGGGGAGCAGCCGGTGGGTCAGGAGGATCTGCCAAGCCATGTGGGTTTCCTCCAGGATAGGCGGGGATTGAACTCATGCAGAAGTGGCTTTAGCTTAGTGCTGTGCTTTAACCCACTGCACCACCAGGGAGGTCCCTGAAAGTACTTTTAAAGCACATGACTCTTGGAAATGTAGCTGAGCATTTTACCAATGACCATGTTTTTACATGACAAATCTCTAATATCTGGGCTGAGTTATCTATCACAGGGCTTCCATAGAGCTACTGAGATGTGGCTGTTTACTCTAATCAACCATATTCAACTTTGATTTGAGGGCCTGCTTTTTAATTTTCCATTTGCCTTTTGTAATTTTCCTGTTGTCCTTTATTTTGGGCTGTACACTGATTTCTGGCTAGATGTTTGCTCCTTATAGCAGGCCTCTCTTTTTCAAACATGCTATTGGCTACGGTACGCAAAACTAAAATAAATGCATATGTAGTAAATGTAATATAATCTAAGACTGAGAAACTCTTCTCATTGTAAAGTTCAGAAGCTGAGTCACATCCATTTTGGCCTTATTCAAACTGCCTTCCAGACTTTCAGACTTCCAGGTTCCTACGGCTCAGGCTACTCTGTACATCTAACATCTAGAAAAACAATGTTTCTGTATTTAATTGCAGAAGTTTGCGTGAGTACAGCAAAAGCCAAGCAGTTCAAGTACGAACATAAGATATATACCCTTGGGCGTTTATATATATACTTTCCATTCGCAACTACACAAAGCAAAATCTGAACTGTACTATTTTCAATGCTTGCTCTGAGAGGATACTGTGCTTTAGGAATGCCAAACCTCTAATAACCACTAGCGGGCGTGGACTTTTAAATGCAATTTTGCTATTAATAATCAGTAAATCAAGGTATAATGCACCTACTTTATCCTTACTGTAAGACTCTACCACAATTACAAAGACCATTTTAGATTTTTTGGGTCATCTTCCATTAGATTTATAGATTGTTATAAACCAACTGCTATTTAAAAAAATTTCCATTATTAACCCAGCCATCCTACCAAAATCAGTGGGTATTTAATTCAGGGCTAAACAAATAAGTAAGCTAACACTGCTTTACAAAAAGCTTCTGAGTAAATTCCTCAACAACCTGCATATAAGGAGGGTGGTGTTCTAACTAAGATTCATACTTTATAGGCAACAAAAGAAAAGATTATGTAGCTTTTTATAGGACTAAATAAAAAGTTTTTGTATGGCCAAAAACTAAAGTCAGAGACAAATGACAAATCAGGAAACAATGTCTGTACAGATATCACAGAAACTTAACAGAATTTTCAATGACTGGATTAAAAAGATGTGGTACATATACACAATGGAATACTACTCAGCAACCAAAAAAAAAAACACCACACATGCCTTTTGCAGCAACATGGATGGAGCTGGAAAAGATCATGCTTAGTGAGATAAGCCAGAAAGAAAAGGAAAAATACAGATGGTTTCACTCATAGCAGGAGTATAAAGGACCAGGCGAGAAAATAATAATAATAATGAACAACCATATACCAGAGACATTTTATGGGGATGGCATGGGGAATGGGATCAAAAACAGTGGGGGGGGAGGGAAATGCACTGGACTATGGTGATGGCACAAGGGTGATTTGGTGATGGGAAGCCCATGGGGATTACAACTGAGATGGAAAATGCACAAAATGATATAAACTATTTAAAAAAAAAAGAATTTTCAGAAACTACAGGGGGAAAAATGACAAACCTGCTATAGAATGAGCAAAAACCACTAACAGATAGCCCACTAAAATATAAACAAAATGGTCCTAAACACAGAAAGATATGATCAACTTTACTCTTAGTGAGACAAATGTAAATTACAACTATACTAAGACACCTTTTTTCATGCAACACACTGGCATGAAATTATAAATACTGAGATGTTTACCTGACTGAGAACAAGCTGTGGGGACACCTGTATTACTGGTGGGAATGTGGGTACAACTTCCACAGAGGGGAGTTTAGCTATAACAAAACTCCATGCGTTCATCCTTAGACCCAACAATTTCCTCTTCAGAAAGTTTTTCAAAATACAGATGCCCAACAATATAAAAATACAGTGTACACAAGCATTAATCACTGCAGTTCAGCCTAAATACTGGAATCTACCTTGATAACCAATCATAAAAGATTCATTAAATAAACTGTGCTGTACAAACAATGGAGTCCTATGCAACTGGAAAAAAAGAACAAAGACAATCCCTAGGAAATGATCAAAGATTGTGTATTGCAAAGTATGAAATGAGTATTTATACTATGCTGCTTTTGTGTAAAGGAATAAACACAGCAAGGAGGAACCTGAAACTGAGAGAGCATTTACCTACAGGAGGAAGGAAACAGGGGCAGGGTGAGTAACACCAAGAACTTAATGCTCTTTACTATACTGTTCATACCCACTTGACTATATTGTTAAGAGTTTTGCCTGTTCAGAAAACAAAAGTGAGCTGGGAATATTCTGTACCATAAAACAAAACGTGCTCAGGGAAAGATGGGAGTATGTCAAAGAACAAGAGCCAAGAATTGAGTGTCCACCAATGGCCAAAAACAAGTCAAGCATCAAAATATATAAATACAGTAATACATTACAATCCACTGAATAAAACTATGTGTCCATACTAATAACAGACAAGCAAACAAAACAGGGAGGGAAGGAAAGCACTACCGATGCTAGAATGCCAATTAGGTAAGTACAGAAGTATTAACAATTACAAATCACCTTCTTGTGACCATTACAATAAAAATGAATTTAGTCAAGAGTTATTAATAGATGGTGAAAGGAGGGACGCAGTTTGATATTTGCATAGTTTCACAATATTTTCCTACAAGTTACTTGTAAATTAGTAAAGTAAAAGTAGAAAAACTATACAGGATAAAAAAGGAAACTTGGCTAAGAGCTTGATGCAAAAATCACCAGTAAGACATCACCTCTGGATGTGACACACTGAGGACACACCGCTTAGGGAGCAGTCTGTCCAAAGTGCATAACCTGAAGCAAATCATGAAAAAACAAACACAAATGAAAAAAAAATTCACCAAAATAATTGGCCTATTCTCTGCAAAGATGTCAACCTCATGAAAGACAAAAATCTTAAAAGACAAAAAATGACTAAGAGACAGGACAACTAAATACACTGTATATCTTTTACTGGGGATAAGAAAAATTTCATAAAGGAATTCACTGGGAGACTGAATGGACAAATCTGAACTATGGATGGTAGATTCAAGTATCTCAGTAATCAATCTCCTGAACTCAAATAGCTACTCTGTGGGTAGAGATTATCTTCATTTTTAGGAAATACAAACTGAATATTAAGGAGTAGAGAGGACTAACATGTTTAACCAATCTCAATAACTCAATAATTCAAGGGGGGAAAAAAGCATGATCGAACAAGCAGGCAGAATGTAAAACTACTGAAATGAGAAACTGCATGCTCTACTACTCCATAACCTTTCTTTCAGCTTTAAATTATTTCCAAATGAAATTCTGAAGGGGGCTCTGAGATGCAGTGATATATGGTGTTCAACATCTAGTGTGTGTCACCCTATCAAAAAATTATTTTGGCATGGGAAGTTCAGTGATGTGATTCTTGCTTGCCAAAAAATTATTTTGCCTTATCTATTCAAAAACAAGATTCAGATAACAGACAACTCGGTCATTCCATTTATATTCCATTAATTTAAGACATAAATTTGGGGACCTCCCTGGTGGAATAAGGGATTAAGTCGCAGCACTATGAGGCTAACGCCAGACACTAAAGCCAGGAGTTGACCCACATGGTGTGGCAGACCTCTCCTGTCCCACCCGCTACTCCCCTCAGCAGTGTATCTCAGTACACCTGCCTGTTCTGCTCCCCACTTTGTCTCTGGTGAATCCTCTCACTCCTCATCCCACCTCTGGCCTACACCCCAGTTCTTGTATGCATAAATACATGAATCTAGAAAAAAAAGATAAATTTGAAAACACAATTTCTTCTACCTGGTATCAATGTCAGCTGCCTGTATTGTGTTAAAAAGCAGCTCAGCAACACCTACTCCCTCCACGTTGATCAAGTGAGGCTGAAACAGAGCTTCTGGGGCTTCAAATCTCTCTCCCCCAACTTTGATAATGCGACCATCTGGAAGCTAGAAACCAAGAATAACCAGGGTTTAGTCAGCAGAAAAATTTTTCAAATTTGTTAGTGTTCTCTAGAACATAGTACTTACTTTTAGACACATCTGTTCTAAAACCAAAATCACTACCGGTAACATAGATCTCTTAAAATACACTTAAAAAATAAAAAAGAAAAAAGGTAAAATAAAATACATTTGAGATAACTGTTCTTGTTTTCCCTCTCTTTTCTGCTTAAAATTGGTATACCAAAACTCTATCAGGAATTTCTAGAAGTCACCAGTGAATGAGAGCATGATGCTCCACTGGTATGTGCAGCAAAAATAAACAGGCCAACCGTGATCAAACGCTGTTACCTGGATTTTGGTGAGGTCACTGCTGCTCGTCTTATCCTTTAGTAGATATTTTATCACATATTATAGACACATTAAATATTTCAAAGAATTTCTTTCCCCAAATATTTTGTGAAATTTTATTGTTTTGCCACCAGAACACTTTATCACCTATCATTTATTTTGGTCAAACTGATTAATCCAAAAAGTTTTATGACCAGAACAGCTCAAGAAGGCAATTCTGTTCTATCCTAATTAGTATGTCTTACTAAATTTTATACAACAGAGAAATAAAATTTTAATTGAAGGATGAATCAATGTGATCATCTAGCATTACAACATGATCTTGTGCAGAATATTTTTAATTTATATTAAATGAGAAATGTTAAGTAGACAGTCCCTGTCTTAAGCTACCTAACAATTCTCTGGACTGACCTAGTTACAAGTATACTTGTATATGCTGGCATGTGTGTGCTGATATAGATATCAGTTAGTTTTATATTAATGTTTATGATATAATTTTTATTCTATTTTTATTCTAATCCTGACTTTCCAATACAACAACGTGCCAGAAAGTAAGTTCTTTAAAATGTTGACTTTATGTTTTACTGTAAATGTCTACCCATGTGGAGAAAGCAATCACATTTTTAAAAAACTCCATAATTTAAAAAAATTAAATGGTATCAAGTCTCTAACATAAGTAAATAACAATACCTATTAAAAGTTATTTTTAAAAAAGATTTATTTATTTATTCATACAGAACTGGGGTACAGGCCAGAGATTCGGAGGGTGAAAAGATTCACCAGGGACAAAGTGGGGAGCAGAACAGGCACTGCTGAGGGGAGCAGTAGGCCGGTCAGGAGAGGTCTGCCACGCCATGTGGATCTCCTCCAGGGCAGGCGGGGATTGAACTCATGCAAAAGTGGCTCAAGCTTCTTAGTGCTGTGCTTTAACACACTGCACCACCAGGGAGGGCCTAGAAGTCATTCTTAAACAACAAAGTCACCAGGTGAGTTTAAAAAACCTGACAAAAATCACCTAGAACATGGGGAAAACTTCGAAAGGTCACTAGCCAAACCTCTTTAGACCAGCCTCTCCGGTGTTGGGATTCTCTCAATGCTTTGGCCACTGGCCAGGAGGGTGTCAAGTGTTTCGCCTCTAGGGAAGGTTAAGTCTGGATGGCTCCCATTTCGTTTGTTTGTTTCCAATTTCTTTGAACCAAATCTTGTTCTTTTGTCTGACTTGCTACTTCCTCTTTACTAGTCAGTATGCCATTTTTTTATTTGCAGTACATATTTCTGTAACCTATTTCAAATTCTTTAAGAAAGACGGAAAGAAAGAAATAAAAACTGTCTTACACTTCTAGTTCCCTCATCTTTTGCCTAATGCCATTTTCTTCCAAACAAATCAAGTAGATAGAAAACTGGAAATTAAGAGACACTGTAGAGAAGGCTTCAGGAAAGAATTTTCAGGCAAACACGGATATCATTAAGTTACTAAATAGGTCTTATTAACTATTTGGATAAATATCTTTAATAATAATTTATATAATTATTTATAAAAGTTAATATTTTAAAATGACCTTTACACATATTTGTGACTATATAGAGTTTATATGAATCAAAGGGTTTAAATATACTTGCTTTTACTGCTGTTTATTTTATTTCAGTAGTAACTAGATTACAGATGCGATACAGAAGTACTTTAGATTTAAATGAACGTAACAGACTTAAGAAAGCAATACATTAAAATCCAACTAGGATCATCTCTTCCAGTATAAGATATAACTAGCCCAGTTGTGAGGTCAAGTTAGCATTTGTTTTGAACATCACATTAAAAAAATGTAAAGTCAGGGAAAGACTGCCACCTACTGAATTATTAAAACAATTCTCCAGGATACCCCAGATATGTTTCCTAGAACATGAGTCCTATGAAATACTAGAGTCCCATAGTCTACTAAGGTAGAAAAAGAAGCATACTAGATTCTCACAGTGAGGTATACATTAACATAACAAAGGTTATGAGAAGTCCTGCAGCAAAGCAAAACTAAGTCTCTAAGAATTATAAGCATTATTTTAATTTTTGTGAAATACCTATTAACATCTCAGAGAAACATTCCTTAAAACACTTACTGAAAAGCACTATTCTAGACGCAGAATATCAAAATAATATCTCTATCTAATTATGTCCTAAAGTACAAAGGTTACTTTATGACTTTTGCTTTATATTGCATGATATGGTTTTTAAAATAATTAAATAGAATCTCAATACAGAAAGACATCAGTGGTCAGGCATATACTTATCACCAACAACCTAAAAGCAAAATAATGAACTCTTAAGAAAATTTCCTTAAGTGGATACCAATCATGCTGACAGTCTATTTTAAAAGCACATATATTTTATTACTGGAAATACTTACTGTGTAAGATTCGACTAATACTGTGGTTTCTAAGGCCAGTTTCTGCTCTTGCTCAATATTATACCCAACATAGCACAGTTTTTCTTTAATCATGCGAACTGTTTCAAAATCAGCAGAATGGTTGAAGGCATATCCCCGCAACAGAAGGAGCTGACACCAAGAAAAAAAAAAGCAGTGAGTTCACTGTTACTTTGAGTTAGTTAAATTCTGCATAAGTTATTGCTCATTATATGTCACATCAGTAACAAATGAAATGGGAAGTAGATCCTTAGCTCTTACTGAATATTTAAGAAACAAAGATACTAGTTACCATAAAAGGATTTATATTTCAGTTTCACAGAAAGTATCAGAATTAAGTTTTAGATAAATGGTTACAAAGGTAAGGAAAAAAAGCTATCTTTTAAAAGTACTACCTGATCATTAATATCTAGACAGTTTTGATCATCAAAGTGTATTAATAAAGCTCTTACTACAGTAGGAAAAACATACAACTGATCCATGTTAATCATAGACTTTTTGTGGTGATCTTTTCACACTATATGCAAATATTGCATCATAATGTGGTACACCTGAAACTAATACAACATTGTCTATCAACTTTATTTCAGTTAAAAAAAATCTATTAATAGGGGCCTACCCTAGTGATGCAACGGGTTAAAAATACAGCACCACGATGCTATCCTCAGCCACTGTAGCATGAGTTCGATCCCGGGTGGGGGGGTGACCCACATGGTGTGGCAGACCTCTCCTGACCCACCCACTGCTCCTCTCAGCAGTGTATTTCAGTAGCTCTGCCTGTTCTGCTCCCCTCTCTGTCTCTGGTGAATCCTCTTACCCTCCACACCTCTAGCCTGTACCCCAGTTCTTGTGTGCATGAATAAACAGACCTTTTTAAAAAATCTATTAATAAATATTATTTTAGCACTGAATTCCTATAATTGGCAATTTGCTTAATCAATATCATATTCAGGAAATACGAGATCTTAGAAAAAGTTTTATCCCTAGTTTCTAGTATTATACCTGACACATGTTAGATAGGAAATATCACTTGTTGAACAAATGGAAAATCAATCCCCCTGACAGAAACAAAATAAAAAAATACAACTGGACTTTTCATATGAAAACTTAAAAATGAGTCCCCTAGCTTTTGTGTTTATATTCAAAAGACCACTCATGGAAACTCCTTTCTTGGCTATCCTCAGACAAAATTTTGGCTTAGAATGAAAATAAAATTCTCATTATTCTTACTATTACTCTAAATGAGATTAAAAGAAATTAATGTCAGGGTGAAGACTTAATGCAACCCAATTTATCGCACAGCTATTACCCTAGAATTGTTTTTCAGTAGCTTCACCACTAACACTTTTGACCTTGTAACTTTTTCTGTGGGAGGGGCCCTGCCCAGTGTAGGGTGCTTAGCAGCAGTCCCACTGGCTAAAACCACCAAAAAGGTCTCAGACACTGATGTCCTCTAGGCGGCAGCACTGTCCTTAGCTGGGAGCTGCTGACCTGGAGAGACCATACTAACAACACTCTGGTACAGACAATATTCTAAACTACTAGACATTAGTGTGGCACATCTTGGTCCTGTTTTAAATTGATTATCATTAATTATTACTCTATTTTATGGAAAAGGATTTAAAAAAAAAAAAGCAATGCAACCAAGAGTATAGCTTTAACATATACCTGCTCAAAGAAAAGTTTTATAGCAGAAAAGGCTGTCAAGATGATTCAAGGAAGTTTCAGGGTCTCTTTCGTCTTTCAAATACCTCTCTAACCTATTTTTCAGGAATAGCACATATATTTATGTAATGAAATCTTTTCATTAACAGCTCAGAGATTATGTATACAAATATGATTGGTCCATTTCTCTGGTGGTACTGGAGAAATGACAGAAACCTGAGATGATACATTCAATTTGGTAAACACCAATTATAAAATTAATTTCTGTAATATTTTCCTATGCTTACCTTGATGAGATACCTGGTAATATCCCTTCCAGCAATATCCAGTCTCCTGGTAAGGTGAGGGAGAGAAAAGCCTTCATACACCGGGCAAATATGAGTTACACCATCTCCAGAATCCACCACTACTCCAGTCAATAAACCTATATACGAATCATGAAGTTTAAAGTGAAACAGAAAAATCAAAACCAGCAAATTTCAATTATTAGTATAGAAGTCAAACTAGAAATCAAAAGGAATGGTTTATTTGCTCACTCTGTAATTTGTTTCTAATATACTAAAGTCAGTAATATATCACATATCTCTTGTAAGACTAGAAGGTTAATTTTGTGCTATCCCCCAGGATATGGGAAGAAAGATGCTGAACCTTAGGACTAAAAACAGAACATGTTCTTAAAGTTCAATATAGGACCTCCCTGGTGGCACAAGGGCCTAAGTCTCAGCACTATGAAGCTATGGCCAGCCACTGCAGCATGAGTTCAATCCCCAACCAGGGAGATGACCCAATCTGATGCTCCTTTCATCAGCACTGTATTTCACTTGATCTGCCTGTTATGTTTCCCACCCTGTCTCTGGTGAATATCTCCTCACCTATCTGCACCTCTGGCATATACCCCAGCTCTCGTATGAATAAATAAATAAACCTTAAGAAAAAAGAACTCAATACAATTCATTTTTCTTTCCAACTCAATCTTGAACCCAGAATTCACATGACATTAAATTTTCTACAGTACCACAAATAACTTTTACCAAAACCATTGTGAAAGGTACTACACAAGTTAATAAACTGGCTGAAACAATCTAGGTCTTTATTATTATCATCATATAGGATATGTGCAACTTTGCTGTTTTGGAAAAATGCCTAATGGTACTAGACAGCTAGAAATGTGAGAACAACTTATCTTGGCTAGCCACAGGATCAATTTAATTATTCCCCTCAAAACCAGAAGGTCAATGTCAGTTAAACCGTACTGTAGAAGAACAGCAAAGAATTTGTCCTGTCATGTGTGCTATTTAAAAGTAATGGCTGCAAAAATTAGATTTCCCGCTTTTCTACAAGGGTAGATTCAGGAAAACCAAGCTAGTCAACTTTCCAATTTATATTTTCTAATAGAAAAAAAAATTAACCAAAATATGCAGTATCTCTCGCTTACTTAAACACTACTATATCATTTCCCCATCTCTAAACAGGCTCTCTCTTTATAACCACCGACTTGCATTCACTCTGGTACTAATGGTAATGATCTGCACTGAATACATTTACTCAAACTATCTCCTTCTGATGCTGCTATTAATATGTCTTTCCTTAAGTGATGCTGTATAACATGTAACACTCACACATACTACACATATTGGATCTTACTCCTGCATTCTTCTAAACAGGAGACCCACTGCCAAAAAAGAAAAAGAATCCACAAAACTCATTAATTGAAAAATACTCTTAGTAATATCAACTAAAGCAGTGATTTACATTTTAATTTCCAAGCAGCACTTCCTAGTCAACCTCCCTCGATTTTGTAGCATTCCCACAAGTTTACATACTGAACTTTCTCTGCACACCTCTGCCCTATTTCCAGTGCCACACCTTTCATCACAGAAGGAGCTATACTTTCACTTCAGCCACTACAGATTCTTTAGGCCCTATCTAAATCTTACTTTTTCACTCTAATCTCAAACCTAGATTCCCTAATTCCAGTTATTCTCGTCAATCCTGTCTGGAATATGCAACCATAACTTCCTAAATGGATGTCTTCTCTACTTCAAAAATCTTCCATGTTTCTGAAAGCGTCTTCCTTCTTTTAAAAGAATGTTTTAAACTAGAAATGCCAGTCACTTTATTTAGAAGGAGAATTTCACTTCAGATTAGAATTCAACAGTTAAATAAAAATAGTTAAGTATCAGGAATTAAGGATCTTTTCGTCAGACAGAAATTTGTGAATATTGCTGGGAAAATATGTTAAGGTCCATTTTATTCAAATATAATTTACACAAAAACTCATTTCAGCAAAACAGTCCCATTTCCAGCACCTAAATGGAACTATTATTCCAAGTTTCAAACTTAGATTAGAACTTTTTAAAATGTAGTTTTCCCAAAATATTTTCTAAAATAATTTTTGGGGTTTCTTTTTAATTGAAATAAAATTACCTAGATGCAGACAAGCACTTCCTTATAAAGTTAACGGGTGATTTTGATTCCTTCTTCAAGGGAAAAATTGCTCATAGGGCTGTAATCCTATGAGACAATGTCTACCTTACTCACTGCCATATCCTTTGTACTTAAACAGGCTGTGCAGAGTACATGTCACACTTGGTGAGCAAATAAAGTTTCTTTTAAAATTTAATCCTCCCCTCCTCAATTTAATTCTAAGACTAACGACAGTTAAAAAAACAACTCCATGCATATTTTTTCAAGGTGATTTTTTACTAGTTATATGAAAGCTTGTTTCCTAAGTACTATGCCTTTGACCCTGCTTAGGTAATAGGTCCTGGAACTAAGCTCAGCTGCCACATCCCTCAAAAACCTCTGATATGCTGAATCAAAATGACCTGCTTCTCTCTTTTTTTAGTCACTTTATTTAGAAGGAGAATTTCACTTCAGAGTCCTCTGAGTGCATCTTTACATTCCAGGGCGTAACAACTCCAGGGCACACATTTAACAGCCCCATAATTCTCCCTACATGGCCAGAGTGTATTTCTGTTAGACAGGAAGGCAGTTAGTAATAGCAGGACCAAGAAAACACTTCCAAAGTCAATATGGCAGTCCCAAAGATCTGTCTGTTATGTATTTGGCAATCACATAAATAAGAAAAAAATGTACTGTTATGTACGTCAATCATGATCTTACACCAATCTTCTGTGATCTCTGTGTATCTTCTTTAACTTGAGACAATTCCACAGACAAATTCCATTTCACTCTCAACTGCACAAACAATTTTTACTTTAAAGCAGACTCAAAAAGAGGACCCTTCCACTTTAAAAGAGACAGAAGTCTTTTTTTACCTTAAGTTTCTTTCTTTGTTTAAAATAAAAATGTATAAGATAATCTGATATCTTTCAGATTTATAACACTGAAAAATCAAATTACCTGGACATAAAATATTGTTAATGAATCTTTTCAAATTTAATTTTTCTAAAAAGTTAAGCTTCACCTACCTTGAGCATACAAAGTCAGAACCGCCTGGATGGCTACATACACACCAGAAAACTGGTAAGTTTCAAACATTACCTGAATATATAGAAGGGAAAAAACATTAGTATTTATAAATATTGATATGGTTTCTTCATGGTCAAAGTATATTAGTTAAAATACAATCAATAGGACTCAACAGAGCCCTTCATCTTTCTAGCTATTCTGGGCCCTATTAAAATCCTACTACCACAAAGCCCATCCCGGGGGACAGATTTTTGGATAAACACGTATCCTCCAAGCATTGCAGACAAGCTACAAAGCAAAGTTAAAACTAGTTAAAGTGAAAAAAAAAGCTTTATGCATTTGAATAAGCCTTTCATAATTGATGTCCTATAGGGAAATATCTTAATTCAAAGACAACTATAGGAAATTACTTAACCACCACTACCTGGGCTTAGACTGTGATTTTACCTTCATCAATTAAAAAAAAAAAAGTAATAAAATAGAAAGACAATAAACGTTGATTCCTGATTGTTGGCAGATATGAAAACTGCTTAGTTGCTGACACGGCCTTTTGAATCCAAATTGTGGATCACTTGCAAGTGAACTATGCACACTGGGAGAAAGAAGAGGTCCCCCACCCCAGTCACAACTGTGGTCCATTTTCTATTGTTCGGATTGGTTCTAAATATCCGAAAGGACTTTTTCTGTCATCTATCATTGAATACTCCTTGACTGGCTGGACTAACTACCACTCTAACAGCTATATACTTAGAAATTTTGCAACAATGAGAACTATACAAAATTAAAATTTACAAATCTGAAATGCATACTCGTTAATTAAGCAACAAGGTATTCTAACCAGTATTTTATTCCATTATCCATTACTTTCCTTCCATAGATATGAAAATGGAAGAATGACGCTCTACTTGTATAATTCAATCTGAAAGTCAGTTAGAATTTGTTTTTCCTAAGAAGACCACTAAACAGTATTTGTAGCACTAAAACAATTTTCTGGATTTGCTTCAGGTAGGGCTTTATCAGCCACAACCAAATTAACATTCACAAACAAACAAAATTTGAAAGAGTAGAGAGACTAATTTTTGTCATTTCTTGTAGATTAAAAAACACTATGAAGCTATCTGCAGCCACTGCAGCACAAAATTCAATTCCCAGCCAGGGAGCTAACACACACAACACAGCACACCTTTCCTATTTCCCCTCACCCCAACCTCCACTCCCCTCAACAGTGTATTTCAGTCAATCTGCCTGGTCTGCTCCCCACTCTGTTTCTGGTGACACATGTCACAGTCATATTACTAGTATTTGGAAGAAGTATCTAGGTCTAATGTCATCTCCTTAACACTTTATCAGAAAGAAACCTTGTATTCATTTTGACATCTTGTTACTTTCCAAAAGAGGTTTCCTTATATAGATAGAAAGCTTTTGGTTTAGGGCAAAAAAAAAAAAAAAAAAAAAAAATCTCTGCAGTCTGATTTTATAATATGCAGCTAAAAATAAATAGCATTAAAAAGACTATCATTAAGTAGTTGTAAATCAAATGCAGTGAAATATGAACTAAAACAAAGTCCACTTTCAGTTTTGGTGATGAAAGCAGAGGAAAAAGGATTATATTAAATATGAGCCAAAAGGAATAATAAGAATTCTGTAACTAAAAACCATGATCTTAAATTTTTTAAATACTTAATGTCAAAACTGAGTATCAATTCAGACTTTAAGATATTGCCTTAACATCTCTTTTAAACCCCTTCCAAAACTTCCATGTTCCATGAACATCTAAACATAGTGACAGAAAAAATGAAATACCAAGTAGTAACTGAAATGCTACAAAAAACCAAAATTTTAAAAATTTCTACCACGTAGATAACAAAATGGAAGACAATCTTTAAAAATTACTTGTTTTAAACTCTTAAACATATAGATTTCTTGTTTTAAACTCTTGCTTCCTGTAAATGATTTCTTGCTTCCTGTAAATGTTTATTTCATCTCCTTTTGCTGACTTCTGCAATATCCCTGGTCCCTGCCCTCGCCATCATCTACTCATTCTTCTTGGTTTGCCATTTTATTTATTTACTTTTTAAATGTATGACTACCATTTTTTTTTTTACAAAAGTTATGACTACCATTTTTAAAAAAGAATTATTCATTTATTGTAAAATTTTAATTTATTTTTGCATAGAAGAATGGGAGTGGGTGTTGGAGACCAGCTCCAACTAACGAGGTGTCTGGGGAGGCAAGACAGGCAGGATCCTAAGATGGGAAGGCATAGCTTGTGTCAAGTGGGGAATAGGCCAGAGGTATGGGGAATGAGAGGATTCATAGAGTGGGGAGCACTCTATGAATCTAATAAAATATACTGCTGAGGGGAGCAGCAGGTGAGACAGGAAGGTCTGCTGTGCCATGTGGGTCATTTCTCTGGCTGGGGATTGAACTCAGACTGCTTTGACTGACATTGTGATAAGCACTAAGATGTGAACCCCTTGGCCACCAGGGAGGCCGTGTGCCATGTTTTTTATATCCTGGTGATTCCCAAGTTTTATGTCCAGCCCCAGACTTCTCTCATGAATTTGACCTTACCTATTTATATACTTGACATTTTTGGGGGGCCCTCCCTGGTGGTACATGGGGTTAAAAAGTAGCACTATGAAGCTATCTGCAGCCACTGCAGCACAAAATTCAATTCCCACTTAGGGAGCTAACTCACATAGCACAGCACACGTTTCCTGTTCCCCCCCATGACTCCCCTCAACAGTATTTCAGTCAATCTGCCTGTTCTGTTCCCCACTCTATCTCTGGTGAATCCTCCCACCCCCTACCTCTGGCCTATACCCCAGTTCTTGTATGCATAAATAAATCTTAAAAAAAGATTAAAAATATATATGCTTTTGCTTTAATATCTGACGAGGACCCCAAATTCAACATGTTTAAAACTGAACTCCATTCCCCCAAATCCTGTCCCAGTTACCAGAGTCTTCATTGATGCTAACCCATCATCCAGCTGCTCAAGTCAAAATCTTTGGCATTTATTATCTCTGACTCCTCTCAAACCCTCATAACCCATAACTAATGCATCAGAAAATTCTTTGGTCCACACTTCAAAAAAGATCGACTTGTTACTTCCACCATATTATCCCTGATCTTAACCACCAATATCTTTTGCTTAATTGAGAAAAGTGTCTAAACTGATCTGATTTCTACTCTTGCCTCTGTAAGGTCTACCCTCAACACAGGAATCCAGAAAATCCAAATCTGAGCATGTCCAGTTCTTCATATATCCTGGCTAGCTCTCTTAGTCTCTTTACTTAAACATTACTTTCTCGAGAAGGCCTATAGTCCCATGTACAAATGCAACCTTCCCAGTTCCCATTCCCTCTAATCTGCTCTCTTTTGCCCCCTTTAAAGCCTACGGTCTTCTAGGTATTCAATAACTCACCTATCTGAAGGCTGGGGAGGACCACTTGCTTTCCCTTTTAGACTATATGCTCAAAGCAGCAAGATTCTGTTTTGTTAAATGATAAGTTTACTTAGAAATAATAACTAGCATATAGTTAGGGAAACTTAAATAGGATCTGGGAGGAAAACAACTATTTTTAGTCCCTTTATCCTTAACAAGCATGGACAATAAAAGACAGTTTGCTTTAAATGACAATATAAATATCTCTCCAAACTCTTACCTCTACAATCTTCTCTCTGTTTTTAGTTGGATTCATAGGAGGTTCTGTGAGTAAGATTTTACAATTTCTCGTATCTATGTTAAGTTTCTCTGGTCCAAATGTATAGTCCCACAGGTGTTTCATGTCATCCCAATTTCGTACTATGCCATTTTCCATAGGGTAGTTAACTTCTAACATCGAGCGTAATTCACTTGCCTCGTCACCAACCATAAGGTCCTAGAAAATTATAATATCAAAGCTTTAGCCTCGTCAATTTTTTGCTTAAAGTAACTCCAGAAAATTATATTCCCATGATATTTTAGAAAACTTGGGAATAATTAATTTTAACCTTTTTGGTACTTTCGATTTCATTTCACATGTTTTAAAACTCTTCTCTTTCATGAACAATCATTTGCAAAGTTGTACCATGAATAATCAATTTTTATGTATGTAGTTTAAATCAATAAATGGACCTTACCTTTTAATACATATGTTTCCAAAAGAAGAGCATTAGCACAAATAAACCCCACATTTTCATATTTTGGAGGGATTTGTTTGAGATTTCATCTGTTTCTTTTGCTCAAATGTTCAAAAAATAAGGCCTGTGATATGTGAAATAGCACATCAGGGGAAAAAAAAACTTGGAGAAAAATGCTCGACACATACAGCACATTTCTTTGTACTAAATCAAAGCAGGTGTAAAGCATAAAGGAAAAAAGCATAAGGAAAGAAACAAAAAGTGAAATGACTCCTTATTTCACTGTAATAATACATTTTTGCACCACTTGTAAATTTCACAGTTCTATTTACATATGCCTGAATTAAAATTGAAATTAACTTTCTATATATCCCTCACCAGAAGACTGAGAATTTGCAAATATAAAAAATTTCAGTCAAGAAAACAACTCTTCTTTAAAAGTATCTCATGAGCATTATCTTCAATCTTAAAGGTGTGATAATGAAAAACTGTACTATCACACATGAAAAGAATACTCACAAGTGTTGTCTCCAATGAAAGCATACTTAGCATGACCCACAATTGAGAAGTCAAATTTTGTATGAATAAGGCTAATGATGTCCTACAACTTAGAATTTATTTCAGAAAGCAGCTAGCCAAAATATTAATATCTACATGTACTGATGAATTCAATTAAAAAAATAACTAGTATCGGAATAAATTTTTTTTTTTTTTCGGAATAAATTTTACTACACAATCTGAAGCTTAAGTTATCGGGAAATGAAATAGCAAAATTAACATATGAGTGTCTTAAAACAGGTTTAAATAAATATATATATATATAAATATACACACATTCATACAAAGAAAACTTTAAAAAATAACAATTAGAAAATCAAATTCCTGGGAAATCCACTGAAAGCAAAACAAAAAGGGAAAACAAAGTTAAAGCAGATGCTAAAATGTTCACTAAAACTTCTGTACAACTAATTTCTTATAAACCTACTTCACTATGCATACTACTCAAATGTCTTAACATTGTTCTGAATTATTTAACAGAAAAAAGGCAAAACAAAAATCTATAATTATGAACTCCAGTTAATGACATGCATATAATGAATTATTTAGGTATATCGGATACTTTGAAATGTATCAAAAAACAAGATGGATGGGTAGATATGTGATAAGTCAGTACAGTACATATTAATGCCAGAATCTGGGTGATGGGTGCATGGCTTGCACTATAAAATTCTTTCGACTTTTATTATATATTCTAAGCACTTCTTAATAAAGTATTAGGAAAAGAAAAATTGTTATCTGTAAGTTATATATTACTTTTGGCAATTCACAAATATAATTTGGCACATAATTTTATTACTTTCCTCTACAACATAACCTCCCATTGTGTTGTACAAAGAGCTTATATAATTAATATGTATTCACAACTGTATTTCAATAAACTTAAGTTTGTTTGATCTCATTTCATTGAATGTTTTCTTTTTTCCATGTAAGAACAGGGGCTTTGATATGTAAGATCCAATGCCAACTCAAACTAAGTCTCATGGATCTACTTATAGGTGCTATACAATATAAACAATTAACTGAAGGAAAAGTGTGGCATAGAGTATATTAGCTATGCCTTTGAACAAATAGAACATTTAAAATGGAAAAAAAAAAACAAAAATTAACTTACTGGACTTGCGAAACTTTGAGTAGCTCAATCTACCTAATTCAAAATTTATCCATGCCTGAAAATTTAATTAAAAAATTCTAAAGCACACTCCCTAGCACATTTCAATTTCCCAAAACCAAAATGCCAAGAACATTATGCAACTTGCCCTTACACTTCAGAAACGAGTTATAAGCAATCAGACCAAGCCTTAGATTTTTACCACCTCCCTCATTACCAACTTAAACCCAAACCTATTATCTGAAAAAATGAAAAATTATAATAAATGTTTGAGAGGCTTTTCAAAGATGTTTCAAGGGCATCTGTATTTAATGAAAAGCAGGTACATAGATTCTATTTGCCAAGAAGCACTTTGAATAAAGTCACTTCAAACTGAAAAATACAGCAAACACAAATTTTAAAACCTCAAGTAAATTCCTAGAAGGAAATTCCATAAAAAAATTTATTAAGTCAAACCTATAATGTTCTCAACATTCTTATATCTCCTTACAATTTTAAGGCAAATGTATGATTTTTTAAATTTATGATAAATATAGGGATTTTCCTTTTTATTCAGAAGTTTTTATTTATTCAAAAGAAAACCCTACCATGTTACTGTTACTAATTAAAATATATCTTTAGAAGTGCCCGACATTCAACCCTGTCAAAATAGCTTACAAATAATACTAAAAACAAAACCAAAAACATTGATATGGGAGTTCAGACTATCACAGAAAAAATATAATGCAAGAGTCAATAGCTTGGGGTGTGCCAGGAAGCGCCTCATGAAAAATAAATAGACTCCATGCAACAACATTTATTTGGGGAGAAAATCTGTTATTTATGAAAAAGTTGTATAAAAATTGACCTTTTTATTTATCCTCTCTGAAAATTGCTATGAAATATGCTAATTAAGGATAGTTTAGAAAACTAGTCATTCTCTTTTCCTACCATTTTAATACCTACAGTTCATGTGCTTATTAAATTTTCAGTTTATTAAATACATATCAGATATGATAGTGGATGCAAATACACATAGGCTGTTAGACAATGTTCAATGTAACATTGGTCGACAAGTGAATTTATTGAAATGTAACAGCTTCACTGCAATTTTCTAGCTCACACATATCTTACATTAAAACCAAGTACTTGGCCTCTATTATTATGCACACCACACCCCATTTTAATTATGACATTCATCAAAAAGAAACACATGGAAAATAATTCAAAGCTATGTTAGTTAATTAGTTCTGGTTTGGTCAATTTATGCAATCAGGAAAGTATAGAACTTAATTAGTTGCTACCAAACTGAAGCAATGAAAAAGGTTAAAAATCAAAGTACTTAAATTAAAATATGGGATTACCCCCCTCCCCAACACTAAAGGGACACAAAACAACAACTACTGTCCCACCAAGCAAAAGTGGAAAACAAACAGAGAGCATGTGTGTAACCTCACTTACCATCTTTTTGTTATTCTACTTCAACAGGTCAAGAAAGGTGAAGAGAGAGAAGGTAGAAGTAAGAGTCAGAAAAGGCCTACATAAAATACTCACTGAAAGTTTTAAACATACAAGCAATAAGAGACAAATTAGGTCGAGGTCAGATGCAGTACTACTGTATTTTATGGAGTTAATAAATTAGGGCCAAATTAACATGGATAGTTACTACTCTGAAATGAAAGTTAACTTGTTAAACAATTTAAATTTTCAGTTTTTCTGAAATCTACCACCACATTTGAGCTAACAACACACAAAAATTATGTCAATCCACTAGGCATAGGAATTCAAAAAAGTCAAGTTTCTTTAATTCATTGCTGAATTTAAAAGCCTTAGTTAAGGAAAATAAATAACAGAAAAGATCTGAGCAGGTACTGGGTAAATTAAGGGTTGTTTTTTCAAGCTCTGCTAATTAAGTTAAATTTGACAAGACTTGCTTACTATTTGCTACTGGAAGAACACATTAACTTGAAAGACTTAAAAGATTGAGCAGATTGAACAGAACTGACCCAACGAACACAGAATAACAAACCATACAAGCAAATGCTAGTGGGGAATTCCTTAGCAAAAATAGCTTAAAAGAATATTGATTAGTTTCATTTCTATCAATTGGTGTTCAAAAGCAAGAAAGTGGGAATGAAAAGAGATAATTATTTGTGTCTATGCTACAGAATAAAAGTGGTTCTATGTGGTCTCTTTCTTAATACCTCAAAAGTGTTAGTACCCATAAAGTATTTAATAAAGTCAATCTTGAGACTGAATGAAAAGCATGACTTTTACCTTCATTTAAAAAATTTATTCTTAATGTTATTAGCTAAACTTTAAATTCACTTATGATTGATTCAACAAGCGTGAAAGGCATTCACAAAGAGTAAGGAATCCCTTAAGTTTTCCCAAAGAAAAGACCCTAAAAATAACACTCTCATATTGAGAGTCCCATCTGATTGTAACATAACAAGCTAGATGACTCATTATCTTAAGTCTTCAAAAAAATGAACAAAAGACCTAAATTTCAGTTTGTATTTTTATTGTGGAACTCAATTCTCTGGTCTCAACAGCAGAGAGCAAAAGTAGCAAATCTCTACCACCTATTGTCACCTATCTAGATATCTCAAAGAAATGTCCCAAAGAGGTATACCCTACCTCATATTTCAAACGACTCATAAACCTAACAGTCTTGCCTAAGACAATACAGACCAACAATGCTAGTTAGTTCACAAATAATTCAGTAAAAGAGCCTCTAAATTCAGTGAGGCCACGTGGAAAAATTTAAACTGCTGACCACTACCTTTTGATTGTTTTATGCCTTTTCTCCTAAAAGTATCATAACTCCCAGATGATTTCCAATCCCTTTAATGTGGGGGAAAAATGTGTTATCTTTCATGTTGAGTCTCTTATGTTAAGTATAGTGAACAGCAATGACAACCTGCCCTCTTCTCTCCTTGTGGTAAGATAGATAATGCAAGACCAAATAAAGACTTGCATGGCTATCTCCTGTATATTATGGAAATCAATTATTTTATTAGTGACAACAAGAGGAACCAATCAGATTTGAATCTGTGTTTTCCTGACTAATTATATTAAAAAACTAGAGGGATCAGGCAACGAGAACATGGAAAAGTCAGTTTCCAACTAACATGACAAATATATGGAATTGAAGGACATAAAGTATCAAGCTAGTTCCTTTTAAAGATTATATTATGAATAGGACTCTATCACTAACACAGATATCATACCAATATAAAAATCTTAGTATTTTACCTCATTCAGAGAATAGTGGCATCACAAACTTAAAGAACAAAGTCAGATGAAATTAACTTTAGTTTTTGTGCCTTTGGATGTTGATGCAAGTTAAAATAAATTCTGCCCTTCCCTTTTGCTTGTCATGGCATAATTCTTAAAATTAAAATAAAAGAACACCTCACAGTTTTGATTCTCATTTATCAGTAAATAAAATATTACCTTGATTTCAATGTTTCCCACTTTGGTGGTTGATCTGATAATAGGTCTTCCAACCAAAGCTGGGAAGATGTGTTCTGGGAAGTTAGAGCCTGCATATCCACACTTCACAAACTGGAAGAGAACAGTAAAAATGGGTTAGTGTCAAGATATCACACATGCCCATTTTAAAACATCTGAAAAATACCACTTTGCATTTATACAACATTTTAAACTTCTGCTTAAAATCACCCAATGGAGTCAACCAATCTTTTCTTATTTATTTCCTTATGGCACTATTAGAATTCATATTTATTTACTAGTTAACCACTTATTTATGTCTCCCCACTTAGGAAAAGCCTCCGAAGAGCAGGGAGTTAAGCTGGAACCAACCCCTAGAGAAGGCTCTGGAGAACACAGGGGTCACACAGGAAGTACAAATTCACAGGATTGGACAAATTCAATCAACAAATGCTAATAATTTTTAAGAGAAAAGTTTCACATTTTCTATGTGAACACAACTAGATTAAATTCTGAAGAGAGCTTACACAATTCAGTTAAGCAACTTTATTTTTCAAAATGGGAAAACCAAAAGGCATCTGAGCTAGTAGCATCTTACTAAAATAAACACTTATTAGGCATTTTTGATACTTACATTTACATTTTGATAAATTTACTTAGTAATGCCAAGTAACATAATTTCATATTCAGATAGTGTACTTCTCCAAAGAGATGGGCATGTCACTGATTCTGATTATACTTCTATTTTACACATAAGAAACTGACAGGAGATTAATAATTCCATTAAAACTAAAAATAGACCCCAGGTTTTTAATTCTTCTAGGGACAATAGTCTGTTTAGTCATATTTTTTAAAAGCAGACATTGCATGGAAAAGGCTGTTAAAAACCTGAGGGTAGGAAAGGAAGCAATATTAAAAGGAAATATAAACAAGGGTCTCTACCATGCTTTTTTTTTAAAAAAAGATTTATTTATTTATGCATATAGAACCGGGTATAAGCCAGAAGTAGTGACAGGACTCATCAGAGAGAGAGAGTGGGGAGCAGAACAGGCAGACTGACGAAGTACACTGCTGAGGGGAGAATGAGAGGAGTAGCGGGCGAGATAGGAGAGGTCTGTTGTGCCATGTGGACCACCTCCCTGGCCGGGATCAAACTCAGGCTGAAGTGGCTGTCTACTACTTAGTGCTGCTTGCTAGGCTTTAAAACTTGTTGTGCCACCTGGGAGGGCCCTCTACCCTCCTTCTTAACAAGTCCTTATTCAATTTAAGCTACACTGTACAATGATTTTTATATCCACTGATAATGCCACTAGCAGAAGAACATCTGGCACCTAATAAGTACATATTAAATAAATACCTGAGTAATAAATATTAGAAGTTTTGCTGTTGCTGATTCAAAAAGATACCTGCACCCCATGTTTACTGCTGCTTTATTCACAATTGGAAAGACATTGAAACAGCTCAAATGCCCCAAAATGGATGAATGGATTAAAAAGATGTGGTACATATACACAATGGAATATTACTCAGCAACCAAAAAAAAGGGCAACACATGTTTTTTGCAGCAACATGGATGGAACTGGAAAAGATCATGCTTAGTGAAATAAGCCAGAAAGAAAAGGAAAAATACCGGATGGTTTCTCTCATAGCAGGAATATAACGGAACAGGCAAGAAAATGATGATGATAGTGAATAGCTATATACCAGAGACATTTTATGGGGATGGAGTGGGGAATGGGATCAAAAACAGTGGGGGGAGGGGAGGGAAATGCACTGGACTATGGTGATGGCACATGGGCGATTTGGTGATGGGAGGCTCAAGGGAATTGCAACTGAGATGGAAAAAACGCACAAAATGATATAAAAATAAACTATTATATGGCCCTCCCTGGTGGCGCAGCAGGTTAAAGCACAGCACTGAGAAGCTAAAGCCACTTTAGCATGAGTTCGATGCCCACCTGCCCCGGAGGTGACCCACATGGTGTGGCAGACCTCTCCTGACCCACCCGCTGCTCCCCTCAGCAATGTACTTCATCGATCTGCCTGTTCTGTTTCCCGCTCTGTTTCTGGTGAATCCTCTCACCACCCCTGCACCTCTGGCCTGTACCCCAGTTCTACATGCATAAATAAATAAATCTTTAAAAAAATAAAAAATAAACTATTATATATAAAAAAAGTTTTGCTGTTGATTTGAGAATAAGATACTATGCAAATACTTTTACATAGTATAGAAAGTGTGATAAAATCGATTGTTCCATGGCTCCAGGCACCATACTTTCTCTTAGAATTAAGGAGAAAAGCAGTGTCTGACACATGACAGTAATAACACAGAGGTGGTCAGAAACTATTAACCTACTACTGGTTGACAGGAAGCTGCTGTATACAACATACTGGTATGTCTGATGATGATAAAACTCAACAGTAACTTAAACTTCATGACTTTTGACTAACCCACCAAAATATAAAAATTTTAAAAATCTATTTCAAAGATCTCTACAAGTTGTTGGAAATGATGTTGATGAAACACAGCATATTTAGTTATAAATAGAGTAGAACAGTTTCTGCCATCCAGAATTTCAAATCTCTTATAAACAGAATTTTAAAAATATGTTGAAGTCATGAATTAAGCAGATTAAAGCCACTTTAATGAAATAGCTGTCTGAAATCAGGAAGCTGCATATTTGGAATATTATCTGAATTCCGATCCTCTCGGGTCATGCTTACATTTTAGAATCTACATAAAACGTATTATTCAGGTATGTTTTATCCCAAAGTCACAAAGTCAGTAATCAATGAGCTACTAAGATTAAGAGAATTTTGCAGGTATGGCCATTATTTTTCATTTTTTAAAATTATTTTTAAAAGATTTCTTTATTTATGCATACAGAACTGGGGTACAGGCCATAGGTGCAGGGGCAATGAGAGGCTTCACCAGAGACAGAGTGGGGAGCAGAACAGGCAGATGGACAAAGTACACTGCTAAGGGGAGCAGCGGGTGGGATCAAGCTGTGCCATGTGGGTCATCCCTAGCTGGGATCAAGCTTGTGCTGAAGTGGCTGCAGCTAGCTTCATAGTGCTGTGCTTTAACCCGATGTGCTACCAGAGAGGGTCAGCCACTATTTTTAATTTTATGTTACAAATCTTGTTTCAATACCATTGTTAGTGTGGTATGATGGCATTTACTACAGATAACTACTTCCCCATTTGAATAGTGACTGAGAGTTAAGAACTAGAATATACATTTTACCCTAAGAGTGTTAAACAGAATTCAGACCTATAAGCTCATTTTTCAGTCTTTTCAAATGATATAACAATGTGACACAGAAGTAGTTATGGGACAACTACCACAAGGAAAAGACTATTACCTACTATATTCTAACTAAAAAAGAAAGAAACCTCACACAGACTTCTCTTCTAAATCATAAATTTTCTTTTGTGCTTATGTCAAAATACAGCTTACTGGGTAAGAATGGAAATATACAGTAAAGGGAAATTCCGCTGAGAACCTCCATACTCAGAGAGCTATATAAATAAAAATTTTATGTATCATTAAGCCTAATATCATTAATCATAATTTATACAACTATTCCAAATACAGAAAGTAAATACTATCTGAATTTAAAGTCTTATGTTTTACCTTAAAATAATGAACAAATATGATGGACACTGGGTAGGTGGGAAGTGTCCATTACTTAAGTGGAAATCTCGCTTACATGGATATAAATATTCTTAAAAAAAAAAGGTACAGAATGAATGATTGAAAAAAGAAACTACAAGTTCGTCAGGGTCACTTATCACATATTAAATATAAACAAATGATTTATTTAAGTGAAAAATCATAACAAGAGTTGAGGTTGGAGGGATGTGGCATAATCAAGCCTTGGCGCAGGGAAGCAGCTGCTAACCTGGATGTGTTTCCCCTCTCATTCTGTACATGCAGACATGCAACATATCACATCTGTAAATAGTCACATCACTCAAAGTTTCCTGGTTGTAACTGTTCAGTTGGGTAATTTGTATCTTAAAATTGTTTGAATATATTTTGAGGGGCATAATATTTGCCAAAAACCTACGGCTGAAACTATTAAAAATGGTAAATCTGTTTCTGTGTTTCATAAAAAACCAGAAATTTGGAAACTCAAATTAAAGATATAAATTATTAAAGAAAGTATTTATTCTGCTTACTGAGTAACATTAGAAGCAGATGCTACATAATAATCCAGAGATAGCATCCCTACAAGGTATTAGATATTCAATCAAGGTATAAATAACTGTAAAATTTCACTTTATTTCACTCATAAATGTATTAATAATTACAATAACAAGAATATAATTAAAATAATATAATTTTCAAAAATATAGACATCTGGAATTTCTTTTTTTTTTAAAAAGGTCATTACTTAAAAAGATTTAAACCATTATATGATAAAATTTAAAAAACACCTCTTTTCTGAACTAATTTTTAGGTATATTAATCTTTGAAATTCCTCCTCTCACCCTCAGTAATTTTAAGGCATTGTAACGTAAGCTTTCACTGTGTGCAGTAAGGCTGTGTTTAAGAAATAGATTTTACCATATATAGTTCCTCTTCATAGCACTGTGGTTTAAACTGGCTTTCTTACTTCCCACTGAGTCATCGAATGGTAAGAACATGAACAGTAAGTGTTCTTTCAAGAAAAAAATGAAAAAGTTCATCCACATTTGCTCTAAAGTACCTTTCTCCCCTCAAAAAATATAAACTGGGATTTACAAAGCCTCATTTGGGTTCATTTAATTAGTACTTCTTCCTTTGTTAATTTTATCTGAAGGCATTGATGATTTGTGTATGATTATTATGACCTTAGTCTACCAAAATTGTTTGTTCCAAAGCATTATGGAGGTTGAAATCAAATTTGTTTTTGATTTATCTCTATTTCAAACACTCTTACAAGTTCAGCATATAAATTAGCACAAGACTGATGAGCAGGGCATAATCAATCATAACTATAAATTATACATTAAAATATAACTATTCTAGCACTGTAAGTTATTTTTCCAGCAGACTATACAAAACTATTTGAACAGTTATGAGGGTGAATGCATAAATTATTGGAATTAAACCATTTTCCTTCCCTTCTCTAGATCACCCTTATAAGTCACTAATCCAGATGGGGACCTGTGAGGAAGAGAGACTAACATCTGGCATATTATAAGAACTATGATACTCTATTGAGGGATTGTCAGAGGAGTTAAGGAAAGTTAATTTTCAAACAACATCGTATTTAAAACCTAAAATATGTAAGAAGCAAAGTACTTTAGGGTGACTAGTATTCCCACAAGTTTTTAGAAACTAAATTTGAATACTTAATTGTAGAGGAATTATAACTTCAGGAATCTAAATAAAATCAAGATTGGGGCCTCCCTGGTGGCACAACAAAGGGTTAAGTCACAGCCACTGCAGCAGGAGTTTGTTTCCCCAACCAGGGAGATAGCCCACTTTCTGCAGCAGACCTCTCCTGTCCCACCTGCTGTTCCCCTCAGCAGTGTATTTCAGTTAATCCACCTGTCCTGTTCCCCACTCTGTCTCTGGTGAATCCTCTCCCCAGCACCACTGACATGCACTTCTGCTGTTGTATGCATAAATAAGTAAGTATTAAAAAAGAAATAGAATATAGTCATGTAGACTCTAAATAGTCCTAATCCTCTAATTTTTAGAAATATAACAGCATCCCTGATTACACTGTTTTATCAGAACTATTTCCTCCTTTGCAATCAACCATATCCGTGGAAGACTGGGATAAAATTTAAAAAGTAGAAGAGAAACACCAAATACATTTTTATTTGAATTAATTATACTTCTCTTGTCATAGAAACTGGTCTTTGGCCTTAAGACACAAAATTCTTAAATTATGTCATAGATATAAGACTAATCAATAATCATACAATCAACTTTCTAATTTAGTTAAACTAATGAAATAAAAATATAGAAATGCCCTTACAGTTAATAATCCTGACTATCAAAAAAACCTTTCTAGACCTCAAATGTGGGCTTTACTACCCTTCAAAGAGAAAAGAATCCACTAAAATATAATCCAATTTTTTAAGTCAACTACTTGACATATTCACCAAATATTTTGAATTCAATTTTTAAAGCTTTAAATTTATGTAGAGGTGATTTGAGACTACAGTGGGAATTAAGTTAATATATTTTAAAAGTAGGTTCACTAAGCTTTGATTGTAAAGTAATACATCTTTATACTTAATTGAAAGATCATTTAACAGTGTTTTGCTTTAAAAAAAGCAAAACGTTTTAACAATGTTTTGTTTTAAAAAAAGCAAAACGCTTTCCTAGAAACTCTGGAGAGCAGGAAGACCTTCCCATCTTCTCCTTTTATCTCTTGACCATTTAATCTTAGGATCTTTTTTTATGGCTCCCTCCAACATTTTCATATATACATACAAGTTTATGGACATAGAAATACCTTTAATAAAGAAACACTCATATAAATGCAATCATTCTAAATTTTTAAAAACTTAGTCGTAGACATGCCTCTATACTGATAGATATGCTGCCTTTAAAAAAGGTATTCCATTTTCTTTGGCTGTTCCATTATATGATAAAAATATTCTTACTCTTGTCTGTTTAATTAAGTTTACATAAAACTAGTGTAATTATTGCTTGTAAAAATCTGTAACGAATTCAATCAGGAGCAATATTACAGCAGTGAGTATCTGCCCTTTCTTCTTCTCAACAATCCAGTTTCCAAACTGTACTAAATATCAAATAAAACCTGCTTTAATTCGTGTGTCACATGAAAGGGGAGAAAAAAAATCACAAAATAATACAACTCCAAAATGGTTAGACAGCACTGTCATGTATGGGAAAATGACCACTACTGAACTCATCCAGATAAACATTTCTGTTTCCTAATTTGCTGACTTTGCGATTTAAGACTTTTTAAGTAGTGGGGAAAGGGGGGCATCTGAAACGAATAACTTCCAAATAATTTCTAAATCAGTTTTAGTCAATTTTTTACAATTATTTGCACTATCGAATTTTAAAGATTAACATTATTTGTATTCTACACCTAAAGAGGAAAAAGAATGGGGAAGGGGGGGGGCCGGGAGGGGAACTGAAACTAATTAACTTACCCTTAAGGTCAGTGAAATTAACACTTGGGGCCCATGGGGTCCTACACCTTCCATCAGCCAATGGAAGGAATATCCTGGTCTCCTTCGGGCTGCATCTGGGCCAAATTCCCAGCATGCAGAATAAAAAGTGATCAATTGCCAATCTGGCGTCCCCTTCTCTATAAATGAAAAAAACCCCAAACCTCAAACACCGATAAAGGGTGAGGCTCATTATATGACAGCACTTCCTCCTTTTTTTTTTTTTTCTTTAAGCCCGTTTCCTGCCTTCGATTAGGATCTTCAGCTATACAGGAAGAGGAAGGCCGCTTTGGTATTTCTCCTTTTCCACACACCGGCGACCCAGGGAATGGAGCCCTTTCCGAACTGTACAGCCCGGGTTTTAACCCCTAGGGGCACTTTGGCCAGATTGTCCCCGCCCGGCGCGGGGCCGGCCCGGGCCGAGCAGCAGGTGGGATTCCCATCCCCACGGCCTCGTCCGCTGCCCTGACCCCCGAGGTCTGCGGGGGTGGAAGGCTCGGGAAATCCAGGGCAGGGTCAGCTCGCTCCCCACGCCCGCGGAGGCAGAAAGCGCTGCCCCGCGCCCTCCGCCCCGACGGCCCAGGGGCCCAGAGGTGCAGCACCGAGGGCCGACGCCGAGGCCCCGCGCTCCCCCAGCACATCCCCGCCGAGAACTGAGGCAGCCGCGGTCCCCCTCCGGCCGCTTACCCCGGTGCCGTTGTCACACACCACGACCTTCCTGCCCTGGCTGTCCATCGTCCACCCGATAGAGTCGTCGCCGCCGCCGCCGCCGCCGCCACCGAGCAACCTAGAGCCGCCACCGCCGCCCGGCCCTTTCCTCTTCCTCCTCCTCCTTCTCGGCGGCCCCTCCTACGGCCCAACTTTTAGCCCCGACCGGAAGTCGCCGCCCCGCCCCGCCCCGCCCATCATTTAACTGACAGCTTGTGCGGAAAAGGTGGGGACTAGCGGGAGGAAGCCGCGACTGGCGGCGGTAAGTTCCAATAAGAAACGCGGAAGCCCCGACGCCCCGCCCTCAGTCTGACACTCTCGGTGGTCACGGTCGCCTCCCCCCCCACCCCAACTCCCCGGGTTCTTCCTCTCTGTGGCTTCTCGAGCGGTAATGGCAGTCGACCTGTCTTGCACTGAGGCCTTTTACCTAAGGTGTGGAAAGATCTGAGGTCGCCACTTTGCCAGCTACGTGAGGCGCAGGCAGGTGAATGACACCCGCTCTATGGCGCTGTGGCAATGGAATGTGGCAGAGAAGTCAGCTGGGAGGGCTGGGAACAAAGCCAGTCATCCCTGCTGACCCCACCATTGAACATAGCAGACGTGAAATTGTACTCAACACACACACGCACGATTTGAAAACAGGAGTTTATACGGTTCCTCTAATAGCAGTCCAACCTCCCCCACTTTGCCCCAGTTGCTGTTGGTCAAGTGAGTGAACGTTTTGGTGCCTGCATGTCCACTGTCTTCAGACACAACTCCCATTTTATTGCAGCAACCCCTGTACCTATTTGAACCTAGAGATGCTGATTAGGACTAGTGGTGGCAACCCCAGTTTCAAATCTGATTCTGCCCCTCAAGAGTTTTGTGATTTGGACATAACCTTGTGTGTGAATAACCATAACAATCCGTTCTTCTGTGGGTTGTGAGAATATAGAATTCTGTGCACCGAGTAAACATCCATTCAAAAGTAGCTATTATTAATCCCATACTTTATTTCTTTAAAGATTTATTTATACACACAACTACTGGGATGCAAGCCAGAGGCGCAGGTGTGTGTGCGTGAGAAGATTCTCCAGAAACAGAATGGTGAGCAGGACATGCAGATCTATGGAAATACACTGCTGAAGGGAGCAGCAGGTAAGACAGGAGAGGTCGGCTGAGCATTGTAGGTCAGCTCCCTGGCCCCCGATAGAGCTCAGACTATAGCAGCCAGCAGGGAGGCCTTCCATACTTTAAAAAGTGTCATTCTACCTGTAAAGCCCGTAACTGTTTTCTTTTTAATCATTCAGGAGACTTCTATTATATCTATGACTCATCTTGTCACATCTATGAAGATTGCTGATAAATTTCAGCATATAACTTACTTTTTATGAATAACACTATTTTGTTTGTAACATTCAATAAATATTGGGCAAATAAATTTAAAATTGTTCTAGAAAAAAGCCATCATTTTGAGTTGTGAGAACTATAACTACTTTTTGCATGGCTGTTCATTTACAATGACTTGAATAAAACTTGATCCATTCCAACATTATAGTGATGGTTGAAACTTGTACACAAATGTTCACAATGATGTTACTCATAATAGGAAAATGTGGAAACCATCCAAATGTCTATTAGTTTTTGAATGAATAGACTAAACATATGGTATACCTATGTAATGGGGTAGCATTTGGGAAATACAGAGGTTCCTGGTGGCGCAGTGGGATAGTGCAGTGCTTAGCACAGCACTAAGAAGCTAAAGCTACTTCAATATGAGTTCAAGCCCAGCCCCAGAGGTGATCCACATGGCTCAGCATACCTCTACTGTCTAGCCAGCTGTTCTCCTCAGCAGTGTACTTCGTCAATTGGCCTGTTCTGCTCCTTAATCTGTCTCAGGTGAATCCTCTCACTGCCCCTGCACCTCTGGCTTGTACCCCAGTCTGTATGCATAAATAAATAAATCTTAAAAAAAAGGGGGGGGGAAATACATGCCAGAAAATGGATAAACCTAAAAAAGTAATATACAAGGTGCAGCAGACTACATATTGCATGATACCATTTACATGAAATTTCTAGATAATGAGACTATTTAGATATGGAAAGGAGATCAGTCATGGCAGGGGCTGGGAACCAGGTTTGGCTGCAAGTAGGCATGTGAGAATTCTATGAGGTGATGAAAACCTAAAAATAGATTTTGCTTAATATTGCACAATTGTGTATAACTTTACTAAAAATAATCAAACTGTGCATTTGAGATACATAACTTACACCTTGTAATGTCAACAAAAGTTTAAAAAAATTAAGTTACCTGCCCTAACGTACCTAACTATGATGTGTCAAAACTAGGATATGTCGTGTATTTGGCCCCAAAGCTAGAGTTTCTACCCAAAGGATCTGTTATAAAAGCTGGAAGCCTGAGTTAGCATTGCACATGGTTTTCCTTAGGGATTCTAGAATTTCACTTAAACCTTTTCATTTTTTTCTTTTTTTAAAGATTTTTTAATTTGTGCATACAGAACTGGGGTACAGGCCAGAAGCTCAGGGGCGGCGAGAGGCTTCACCAGAGACAGAGTGGGGAGCAGAACAGGCAGATGGATGAAGTACCCTGCTGAGGGGAGCAGCAGGCGGGTCAGGAGAGGTCTGCCACACCATGTGGTCAGCTGTGGGGCAGGCAGGGATCGAACTCATGCCGAAGTGGCTTAAGCTTCTTTGTGCTGTGCTTTAACCCGCTGCACCACCAGGGAGGGGCCCTTTTCACTTCTTGAATGGAAATAGATGAGTATGTTTTTACGGTTAAAGACCAAGACAATGGCTGTTAAAATGCACCTATACACATAGATATATATTGTAGTTGAGAAGGAAAAACAGTGGCTACTAGTAGCTAAAAATGAAAAAGAACTCTTATCTTTGAATTTAGACCTAAGAATGATCTCAGATTCTCCTTAAAATATAAACTTATTTTAACTGTAGTTTGTTAAGTTATTAAGTGTAAACTCACCTTGGGAATGATTTGAGTAGAACTTTAATTCATCATGTTCACTTATTTTAGAAACTGATAGCATTACCACATATATTACATCTTGTTCTATACTTGTAGAACTCAGGAAGAGGACATCCATATCATTTACCTAGTGACATGATTTAAAAGTCATCAAGTAGGGACCTCCCTGGTGACCTAGGGGTTAAAGTCTCAGGCCTACAGTTGGTCCAAGCAGCCTGAGTTGGATCCTGCCAGGGAGCAGCAGACACCGCCCCCCCCTCCCCACTTCTCTCCTTAGCAGTGTCTTTCAGTGTATCTGCCTGTTCTGCTCCCTACTGTCTCTGGTGAATCCTCTCATCCCCACGCCTCTAGCCTACACCCCAGGATAAATAAAGGAATAAGTCTTTTAAAAAATATTTGTTTTATTTATTTATGCATACAACAACTGGGGTGTAGGCCAGAGGTGTGGGAGGACGGGGTAGATGAGAGGATCCACGAAAGACAGAGTGGGAAACAGAATAGACGGATTATATTGAAATACACTGCTGAGGGGAGCAGTGGGGAGACAGGAGAGGTCTACTGCGCCATGGCGTTTAGCTCCCTGGCTGGGATCAATCTCAAGCTACAGTAGCTGGTGATAGCTTGACAGTGTTTAGACTTTAACCCCTGTGCCACTAGGGAGGCCCTAAATGAATAATTCTTTAAAAAAAAAAGTTATTAAGTAAAGAGATTTGTACTGAACCCAGAAAAGTGTTTATTTAACTTCTTCTAAATTATTCTCATTTATGTTGATAAGATGCATGCTTATATTAACAGTGTTAAGTCAAGAAATCCATTTGGGAAGTTTTTCAGATGCAATGTCATTTCACTACTATTTTCTTCAGCCTGCCCATCCTCGGGCAATCTCTTACAAAATAATGATATATAGTCATTTATGAAAAATATTAGGCCCTCCCTGGTGGCGCAGCAGGTTAAAGCACAGCACTGAGAAACTAAAGCCACTTCCACATGAGTTCAATTCCTGCCTGCTCTGGAGGTGACCACATGGTGCAGCAGACCTCTCTTGACCACCCGCTGCTCCCCTCAGCAGTCTACTTTGTCCATCTGCCTGTTTTGCTCCCCACTATGTCTCTGGTGAATACTCTCACCACACCTGCACCTCTGGCCTGTACCCCAGTTCTGTATGCATAAATAAACAAATCTTTAAAAAATATATTAGTAATGATTCAATATTATCTAATATCCAGTTCATAGTTGTACTTTTCCAGTTATCCTTAAATGTTTACAGCTGTTAGCAAGGGACTATGGCGATGGTGCACTGTAAATTGTTGGTGGGAATTTTATGGAGACTACACCTGAGAGGAGAAAGCACACATTGTGTAAAAATCAACAGGGATGTAAAATATATATTAATTAATTAATTAAAATAAAAAGAGAAAAGTGTTTATAGCTATTTTCCCCAAATTGACCTTGAACCAGAAGTTGTATTGTGGTTTTATTATTGCCTCTTTAATCTCCTTATCTAGATGTCTTCTGACTAATTGTGACATTACTTTTTTAATATACACTCCCCAAAATGTGTCCTCTAAAATGTTTGGTATTGACTTTTTGAAGAGGTCAGGTCATTTGGCTTCTTGAAATGTGCCATGTTCTGGACTTGTCAGATTATTTTCTTGTGGTTAATTTTTGTGACATTTATTAATAACATTATTGTCACATAGTAGAGTGCTATTGACAGGGTGTGCTACCTGGATAGATCTGCTAAAATTAACCATTAAATCATTTGAAGATCTTGTCATTCTATAAACATTGTTGATGTGTTGATATTGACCTAGCCAAAAAGAGTAAAATTGTTGTACCAAAAACTAAATAAAATTAAGGGATTTGGAATCTGTGCTTGAGAAAAGGAGTAAATATAATGAAAAATGAACAAATTTACCATCTAATTTCTTGACTTTGTTTAGTTGCTTGCTTACATTTAGATTCTTTGATGTATAAGTACAGCTTAGCATTAGAAGTTAATAATTCTAAAGAATTTATGTGTTTCAAAATCTAATAGATTTAATGATGTTTTAATGTACTTGATTACCATTTTTCACTTTTATTGGAAAAAATTTCAAACACACAAATATAGTAAATGAACCCAAGTAGTATTTTATCTTGTAC